GCATTACCCCCCGACCTCTCGTTTTTTTTACTCCCTCCCTATCTCTCCTCGTCCTCCCACCACGCTTTCAGCTCGTGGCTCCATCGCAAAAAGAAGAAAATAAAATAAAATGATCCTCGAGCAGTCGCAAAAAGCACAAAAGTACAGAAAGAAAAGCGAAAGAATAAAATGAAATATACGTATAAAGGGAAAAAGTGAAAGGAGAAAGAGAGAAAATACGAGCCGAAGCTAAGAAAGGGCGGGGATAGGAAGGAGAGAGAGAACCATTCGAAGAGTCAACAGTGACTTCATCTTCGTCTTTGCCCTGGAGCGATTCATAAAGCGGCGACGACAACGATGCTTTATCAGAGCGACTCGAGAATGAAAGCTTTTATACGTATATGCTTGCAAGTTCGCGCTCGCGTACGCGTGTATTTTCCCTTACCCCTTATGTATATGGAGAAAAAAGAGTGGAGGATTTGAAAAAGTTTAACTGACGGATGAACCGCCCAGATGAATTGATAAAGATTGCTGCTCGCGAGCAGCAACGGTAACTCGCGAGCAGTCTGATTCTGATAATTTTTTCTGTTAGCGCCCGAGTGTACGCGATTTGATTGCCAAGTAAGTTTTCTCAGGCGATAAGGGACTCGCTGGATGTAAATTACTTACGGAATTGAGAGAGAGAGACGATGCGACTACGCTAAAACGAGAGCGCAGACGTTGGAGGAGAAAAACTTTGCTTACCTGAAACAGAAAAAATGAATTCATGAGTATAATTATACATGGGTACATCGATTGATTCAGCTGACCAGTTATTAAGTCAAACAATTCGGAGCTGCGGGGTTGGAGGAGAGGAAGGTTAAAAAGTTCGAACACGCCTACAGCAGCGCGTCATATTTTATTTGCTTTTTCATGCTCCCCCGCTGTTATTATCAACGGAAATTTTAAAAATGAGCCCCACAAGAGTCGTTCCATTTTGCTCGGCACAAACCGGCAGGCAGGCAGACGCGCGTGTGCGCACTTACAACAAAATATACATGGGCCGTGTACAGATCGGAGTAGTAAATAAGCGTGTATTCGTCGAAAACGTCGATGCGTGACTTGCGCGAGCGGCGACTATATATATCGCACAATACAAGCATCCCCTAAATGTACAAACAAAGCTCCCAGCTGACCAAACGCGTTAATCACGTGCGCTACTGTGCAGTTACGAAGGTGCCAAAGTGCCTCCGCAAACATCGAATCCCTCCCCCCACCTCCCACCAACCCCCTTTACCCCCTTATATGGTCGAATTCGAATAATCAACTTTTCAAGCTTAACACATTTTTGCTTTATTATAGCTGCACTTCGGTACGGTCTCGGGCACGCTGCAAAATTATGCACTCGTCTGCGTGTATAGGCGATTTCATCGAATTTTCCAGTAAATTTACTTCTTATCGTCTAGATTCGTCGCTCTGCTACGCGTACATAACGTATATAACATTGTGCGCATGCAAAGCTACGCAACAAACCACGTATAATATATATACATAGGCCCGGCCGTAATGTACGACTCGAGCTCGTGTATACACACTCGATGCATCTACCATGATGATGATGATGGTCGTCGATGTGCTTCTTTGTGCCCACCTAGAGCTGCAACTAATCAGGTGACACATGTTGGCCTGGCCAACCGCAGGATTAGGGACTGCTGTGCGAGCCGAAGCCGATCGATCGTCGTCGTCGTTGCTGCTGCCGCTGCCGTCGTTGTTTCGACGAGTTTCGTTTTACGTCTATAAGGGGTGTGCTGTTGTGCGAGTTTGCATGATACTGATGGAACTTTGATGAGTAGCCAGCGTCGGTGCGGTAGCCAACCAGCCCCCGCCCCGGCGGCCAAGCATTGCGCAAGAACTCGTGGTATACATAACTACAGACTTTCTCGTCGGGGTTTCTTTATTTTTTTTCTCGAGACGTTCGCATTTCCTTTTTTCCGACTTGATTACTTTTTCAATGCCAGGAGCAGCTGTTAATTAGTCATATCTCGGCGACAAGCGGGTGAGGTGAGTCTTCGTGCGCAACTTATTAAAGCTATTAAAAACAACGCATGGGCTGCCGGTACACACTGTATACGTACGTCGGAGAGGCGTCGTCAGCGGCAAGTATTCCAATTTATAACGAGTTTGCTTGAATATGACGCTGGTAAACACGAACATAAATATTCATGAGCATCACATGTAATCATTACAAGTCCTTCCTTGTATACAGAGACAGAGACAGAGGCTGCCTCTGAGAGGAGAATGGCAGGGGAGAGTTTGCAACAATTACACGCGGAGTTGCGTAGCTTGTATAAACAGATATAAGATGAATGTTGGCGAGTAGCAGTGCCACCGCGGCGAACTGCCACACGACACGGAGGCTATCTAGCCCTCGCTGTATACGTAACAATGTTTACTCAGTGTTGTTAGAACTGCGGCTAAATTATGAAAACGAGCAGTCCAGTTTTAGTACTCTTCCTTCGCTCTCTTTTGCTATCATAAATATGCATAGAAAAGACGGATAAAGAAGGCCTCAAGGATCAACGGAATACGACATCTCTCAAGTTCAGTCCTCTCAGTTGTAGTCGTCGTATCCACTCTATCTTTCCGCGAGGAAAGTGGGCTTGCGAGGAGCGTACATTTTAACGGCTATAGACATTTAGTTTTAGAGTGCGATTGAATTAGAAATGGTCAATTTGACGGAGTATATTGGATTTAGGTGGAGCGCTCCGTGCACTTGATAATCGATTTTATTGCACGGTAAACATTTCGAGTTTAAAAATTAAAACATATATATACCTGCGCTGCTCGGGCTTTCGAGTTTATTTTGAACATTTACCGACCTGAACTCTGAAGCATCATCTCGAGAACTGCACTTGAAAATTCAACGCCCGAGTAAATGACTGCCAGCGTTTAAAGTACTTGGGCTGGTCCTATAAGTAGTGATACGTCGTTTTGGTCGGACACCTATAGCCAAATTTCAGACGAATGTTCGCTCATAAAAATAAAATTTTTTGCGAATTTATTTGAATGAATTGTCAAGCAAGCGATTCAATTTGACAGCAATAATTAAGGATTCTTATTTTTATGGATTAATTTGCCCTCGTTAAACTCAAAACATTAATTTTAAAAAGTGTAACATTAAACTTTACTCAAGGTAATTTATCGTAACGCTCGATCTCGAACTCATATCGCGTGTACATGCACGGCTGGACGGCCAATAATAGCTCGATCTTCGGTGCACTGCAATAGCAGGGCGCGCGGTGTCAAGCAAAGTTTTGATGCCAGAGAACTGCTGCACCCCCGGTAGCTGCGAGGACAGCCTTTTAACTTGAGCGTAATTGGCAAAGTGCGCGACGCACGTACGCGAAAAGAAAGCTCATAGCGATGATTAATTTCCAATGTGAAAGGGAAAGGGGGAGCTTCGGTACGCCCGGGGAACTTTGTCCTTTGACCGGTTTGTTTTCTCTTCTTCTTCAAGACTTTCCCGCTTGCCTCGTTTTTTTTCAGTTTCACAAGCTCAAGTTTTGCACGACGTTATTACTTTATTTTTCGCGTGTGAGTAAACCCAGCTGCGAGAGATGATGTTATTGTTTGATTTGGCTCCAGAACTAAGTTAATTTTCTTCCTCAACCTTTTTTGGCCTATATAAGGTTCGGGATTTGGTTGATTGAAATTTTTCCATTGCAAAGGTTATGCGGAACGAAAATATAAGTATTATAGGTTAATTGAAGAAGAATAATATTTGGATATCGTTGAGTGGAAAAATTCCAGAACGCGCTTCATTTTAAAATTACTGCAAGTAATAATTTTTTTTTTTTTTTTCAAGTATAGTAATAATTTTTTTAAACTGTAGTATGTATCTTGAAAGCTTTGAATTTTTTTAATTTTATCCATCAAAGTGTTTTATGTAGCTTCAAATTTATTGCAAGTCATCAAGTGTAACACTTTGTTTTTTCACCGTTAAAGGGCATCAGAAAAGTTTCAAAAAGAAATATCTTATAAAACGTTATGCAATTCCAAATTCTTTGTTACATAAAAAAATACACTTCATAAAAATTTTACTCTTAAACCTTAAAAAAGTGAGACATGCGGTGCATAATATTTTAATTCATCCATCTATACCCTGCAAAATTAATGGGAAAAAAAACCGGAGCATACCGTGTCAAGCGAGACCACTATTTGCCCAGTAGATTGAAAGTGAACAAAGCTCTTTAAATTATCGATTTTTCGTTAAACTTTATAATATCAAGCTGTAAGTTCATTTATATAAATAAAGATGTGAATTCGTGTTATGTCCCTGATCATTTACATTTCGATCGTTCTATTTCACTTCAGCCACAAAAATTACAATAATGAAACCACAACAGATGGTCGATGATTGATATTTTAATTTAATTTAAAGAATTGGAGGAAGTGGACAAACTTACAAGGAGAGCTTTTCAGCTCCGGGTCGCAGATCTTTTATCAAACTTTTTTGGGGGTCTTCTGGTACTCAATACTGAAGCTCCCTGTGCTTAGTTTGATCTCATGGGCCTTAGGGCCCATTTTGTAGAGGATTTTCCACATTATAAAAAAATCTTTATTATTTTCTATATCGATATAGAAGTACTTTAAGAAGTCCTAAAATCTATTAAAAAAGCGTCAAATTTTGGCCTCTTGAATTAAGTGATAGATGGTCCCAAAAATTCTGAAAAAATTCAAGCAGGTTCTTTGAAAAATTTTAAAACTTTTGATCGTAGCATTTTTTCGTTTGAGTACTTCTATATCGATTTAGAAAATAACAAAGATTTTTTTGTAATGTGGAAAATCTTGTACAAAATGGGCCCTAAGGCCCATGAGATCAAACTAAGCACAGGGATCTTCAGTATTGGGTACCAGGAGACCGCAAAAAAATTTTGGAGCAAATCCATGACCCGGACCTGAAAAGCTCTCCTTGTTAGTAACATAGACAAATAAAATATTTAAAAAGTCATCATTTATTATAAAACAAATACATAAAATATTTTAGAATTTATACATAATTCCAGGATTTACAAAAAGTATTGGAAAATTTTTCTTGCAAACTAATCATTTTCAAACGTTATTAAAATCTGAACATGATCGTCTGATAATAGCTAAAAGAATGAAAAAAATATTAATTTCAATAAATCTAAACGTCAAGTCATTCATAATTATTTGTAGTATACCTGAATTTCTCGTTTTAAGTTCGCATTGGAACAAACATGGATTGAGATATTTCTTTCCAAACTGATCGCAAACTATATCTAGATTTTTTGGACATAGACAAGGTTGTTGTCCGAGCGTAACAATAATCATGGACATGATGAAAATTCCAATCACTATTTTGTTCATTTTGATGTTTTATTGATTCTCACAATTAAAAACGTTCTTTTCTTTCTGATTAGTTGAAGAACACTGAGTGTAAATAATTATTTCGTACAACTACAACGCAATAACACAGTTCTCAATTAAATCGGTAGACGGATTATCGATTCTTTTATATACATCGAAGCGATAAATAAAATGATAAATTGAACGACACGTATAGCAGCACGTCATTTGTAAAAAAAGCTAAGATTAGATTATCTATTATAATCGATTGAAATAGTCATCCGCTTTACCTTCGTTGATCGAGTTCACTTGCAAATATTGCGCTAATGTAAGTGTGATTTGTTTGTTTACGTACTGCCACAATGACAGCAGTTTGCAAGCATTCCAAATGTTTCGTGTGAATTTATCGTGCACAAATAGTAACTATATGATTCATCTGGGTGATACATATTTTTTGGTTCTTCAGATAAAAGAGTTTGAGTTTTATAAACGTGCATGGCAACATTGAGAGTTATTGCATTGGAAGCTAAGCCCTCTTTTTTATCATTGAAAAAAATTTTTGTTGAAGTTCGAAAAACATTATGAAACCTCATTACACTTGTCTTTGGTTTTATCGGTTGCCAGAAAAACATTTTTATATTACAAAAAATTTAATAGAGAATTTTTCATTAGGGAGATTCATTCAAAATCTAGAAAAAGAAAATGTGGTGCCCCACAAAAGAGTCTCAAGAGACCATTGCCAAGAAAAAGATGGTCTACCTTTCTCTTATTTTTTTGTATAACTTCAATATGATCTGTGTTCTTCTTATAATATGAGCTCTCAATATTTTTATTCGTAATGAACATACGTTAATATTACGCAAATTATTAAAAAATTTGCATAGTTCAAGTAAAATGAGTAATCATCACCATTGTGCATTAAATGCAAGACTACATAATACCGAAGAGTCTAGCCAAGGTTACTTTAGGATTATTTTTAGGTAAGTACGGCAGGTAAGTTTCACGCAAAAAACAATTACTGGCTAAGAACTTGGTAAAAGCCAGTAGTAGTTTGTGTGTACTAACTACCAACACGTACATTAAAAAACAAAACAAAAATCACGTCTGTGCAAATATATACACGTGCATGCGTGTGCCAAGGGAAAAGAGAGAATCAAAGATTTATTCAACACAATGTAAGGGTTAGAAAAATAGAGAAAGAAGGTAGAGTTTTTATTTATGCTCGTTAACTACCAGTTGCAGCTCTCTGAATACGAGGACCATACAAATAGCTGCAGCACCTGCAGGATAGTTGATGCAGCTCAAAGAGAATTTCGTACACTCGTTTTCTCTCAAGCGGGGGTATTGTCTAAAGAGAAAAAAAGTAAAAATGAAACGAATATCGCTTGGATTATACATGTACAAGTTGCGATGAGAAAAAAGTAAACGCCTGGATGCTCTTCGGTTGTTCTATGGCATACCTACAACAATTTTCTTACACACGCCGAGTGAAGCCTTGAACTTGCCTTACACTGTAATTGAATTGAAAAATTGTGAGCTCTGACGTACTCCTTAGCGCTTTTGTAATAGAAAAATGCGTTTTCTGTCGTTTTTTCTCTCGTCCCCTCCCCCTCACTCGCTTATTTTCTTTTCCAAGAGCGCACCCATTTGTTTTCCGTAGCTCTCAGTTGCTGCTCTTTTCTTTCATAACCGTGCTTCATCTTTAAATTTTACGGACAAGTTTTTGCAGCTTTTAAAGAGCATGAGCTCGGTATTTTTTCTTTTTATTTTAGCTGCGACTGCTGGGATACAAGCCGTTAGATGAAGCAAAGTTCTTATTAACTTCGAGAATAATGAAGTCTCGGATGAATTTTTTTTCTTGAAAAGGTCGAAAAAAATTATCTTCCAAATTGTTCTGGCTTTTGAAGTTGTGTTGCGGCAGCAAATTTTGCAACTGACCAGAAAATTACTTTTGTTATACCATGGGAAGGAAAAGGCTGCCTAATTGAATCTTTCCCTTGCTTACTTTCGCTCACCTCTGAGCGTCTCGATGAGTTTTTAAAGTCATTATTCATTTTACAAACGAGTTTAGTGCACAAGTGCGTGCTACACACAATATTGCCCGGCTTTTTATAAAGCTTATTAGTGTAGAATTTTGTTTTTCTATCGATAGGTAAAATATCAAGTCCCTCGGTCGTATTTTATTCGATTTACTTTTCGTTTCCTTTTTTTTTTCGAAGACAAAGCTAATTTTTAGTTTCAATAAAAAAAAAGCAAGCGTAGTATAAATAAATTTGTTTTTCAATCACTCCACTAGCTAGTTAAATAATTCAATAAAATGAAAAATTAAATTTTCAATGGTTATCTGCACGTGAAATAAACTTTTTCCCACTCTAACCTAAAATACGCAACTTTGCCGCTAATTTTAGGCTTTCGTAGGAAAAAATAGTATCTCAAACTGGTGCAGATATGGTTTTTTAACAAAACTCGTTACAGCACTCGCCTTCGGCTCGTGCTATAATCCCTCGTTTTGCTAAAAAACCATATGTGCACCCGTTGAGAAATATACTATTTGTGCAAAATCATAACTCTGAAGTACGCATCTCAAATCTGCATTAGAAACTTTGCAGTCTACTTATGCAGTGTTCCTATACGTATATAGAGAAAAAAGGGGCACATAAATAATTATCTAACCTCACAAACTCAGCTGAATTTCTCTTCCTTTTTTTTCTTCTTTACTATATGTCTCTCTTAAGTTCTGCAGTAATAACTCTTTTAATCCTAAGGAGCAAGACGCAGAGCTCCACCGAGGTGTTTAGAAAATTTAGACTTTTTAACGAAGGTCAAGTGAGAAAACGCCTCGAGCACGGGCAAGATATAATAAAACTTCATTAAGCTCAACGGGAGTTCACTGGAAACTAACTTGCGTGACTATTTTTGCATATATTTATACGCGATGATGAACTTCTATGACACAGTTTTTGCACTCTTTATCGCATTGTTTAAGAGCATATGAAAGTATCTTGATTAACTATCATTTAAATTAAAATATACGAGTACGAGCGATTAATTTTTCACTCGCAAATCATAAGCATCTGGTGAAAAGACAAAAGCAGTGCACCCGGAAGGCTTGCCTAATTTTTCTCACAATTTTGCCCAAATAAACTCTCCACTTTACATTTTCCACCGGTACTTACGATAGTCGTGCTAAATTTTCTCCGTTAATCCTGTGGAACAATTAGCCGCGCGTGCGCTCGCGCGCTAATTCCAGTTCACGAGGATTTTGGCGCACGTTCGATTTAGCAGAGCTTTTAAAATAGATCGAAGCACGCTGCTACTTCGCCACCGATGTACGTTTCGAAACTTTGAAAGCAAAAGATGGAAAAAAAGAGCGTCATCATCGTACTGTGCGACAACAATAGCTTACGGACGTACGCACACACACACACACACACACACACACACACACACACACGTACAGCAAGCGCATGAAAGTAGCATAGAAACGCGCGCGCAGTATTTTTAGCTTCATTCCAATCCAGCGACTTTTCTGCCATCTGCAATTAGTCAGAGCCAGAACACTCCGAGAGAGAGAAGAGAAGAGAGAGAAAGAGAGACTTTATATACCTACTGTGTTAAAGGAAGCGGCGATGCTAGCAGCTAGCACCCAGCTAGCAGGTTTTTTTTAAACACTGCAAAACTACCGTCCGCTCGGCAAGCGACGAACTTTGTCCGGGAAAGCAGAAGCGGAAAAGTCACAAGAAAAAGCTTCAACTATAGAATTTATAGCCCGTGTACAAGCCCTCTGTGCTATATGTGCTGCTGCTGCTACTACTACGGTACTGCGCGCCACCGAGCTGCCAGAGAAAATGTGTCGTTTATTCGATTTTTGCCACTTATTTCTTAGTTTTTCCTTGATATTTCCTTCCGCGGTCATCGCACGGTGTAAAAAGTATAATAATAACAAATAAACTAGCGAAATGCACGCCTGACAACATTTTTCATCCTTATTATCGTTATTGTCGATCCCGTGAGTTTGATATATAATCGGTAAATTTTTCCATAATAAAAAATTGGCATGCGCGTTTGACTTTAATCGCTCGAGTTAAGCGCTTTCGATAAAGTTACACATACATACACAAACTCACAAACACACAAACGGTCGCAGTTGTCGTTTCTTTATTATTTCAAAGAAGTGTAAGTAAGCTTTGTAAATGTACACATTCGCGATTACGTTCGTATGTTAGTAAATATATATAATGCAGTACACGAGCGGTATATATGTCGATGAAGTTAGCTGGCTGGAAAGGTAGCTGCGCTGCACGCGCACTATGTATGTATATATAGGTAGGGAGACTAATTGCCACTCGTGCTACTGCTTTTCTCTTTCTTTCTTTCTTTCTTCTTCGCCTTTTCTTTTTTTATTCTTATTTTTCGTCTTCTTTGTTTTTCTCCGGCGCCAGTGCCACTATGAGAATTGATTTTTACAAAGCTCTCGCTCGCGCGCGTACTCCTTGACTATATACTGCGGCTGTTGAGCTGCTAGTAGCTTTTTTAACCCCCCCGTCAAAAATAAAAATAAAAAACGGTTTACGGAAAAAAGCGCGCAAGGGAGAAAATATTATTTGATACCGAGCACACCGTTCGAGTATTTCTAATTTTTAACTCAATTTGTAAAAGCTAAAAAATAGTCACTGCAAAGTTATAAGCTCCTGTACGGCGGCAGTTTATTGGAATACTTTCTGGTATGCGCGGTGTATAGGGCTACACGTTAAAACGGAACATTCAGTGTAAAAGTTGGGGGAAAAATTTTTTTAAACTCTTCAAAATCTCATAGGCAAGTTCGCTATAGCGCCGACAACAAAAAAAAAAAAAAAAAAGAAAACCTACGCTCGCGAGAATGAGCTTTGAAGCTCACGCGATAAATCTTGCTGCACCTTTTCTTCCTGTGTGTATGTCTGTATATATATGTATACTTACGCGAGTATAGCGTACCAGGAAAAAGTAAAAAAAAAAAAAAGAAGAAGAAGACGAAGGTAAAATACAACGTAGAAGTGATCTTGAAGGGGTATACGCACTCACACACATACATATAGACGCGCAAGCTGGCATACACAAGCTCTGCAGACAAGAACGCGTCGT